CTCAGTATATTAACTGGGCCACAGAAGTGAGTTGAACTCAACCCTCTGTACTGTGTGTAGACTAATTATCTGTTATATCCCTTCTCACTGTATATTCCTAAGTGCCCTGGTTTTGTTTCTCTAGAGAACCCTGCCTAACCCAGCACAGCTGCCTTCTACTTCCCAGGACACCATGTATTTTCCATCTTAAGCCCTCAGGTTACAAGTGTGTCTGAGTAGAGTCCAGTTCACCCAGTGGATTTTTGTCTCACTTCTCACTGATGCATCCTCTCAACATGCTGTGTGCCTTGAATATACAGACTCAATGCCACATTTTTTCATGGCACCCATCCTTGGTCCCCAGGATGCACCCAGAAGCCTGGGTCAATGTGGCCCATTCGATGCATACCACCAGGGACACTGCCCCTCCGAGGGCCCCCAAAAGCATTTTCAGTGCTTTGCCTACCATCAGTTATGCATTTTTGCTCCCCCAGACGTTTTCGCTCCCTTTTCCCTCTTCTGACTTGATTTTCCCACCATTGTCCCTCATCCCTGTTACAGGGCTCTCCACCTGTCTGGGGAACCTCATCAATGCTTGTATGGCAGCCACTCAGGAGAGGCCATTGAAAACACCATGGCTCGGGTCAGGTTCACCTTTCCCTCAAGTAACCCCCTTGCTTTTCAACACTTTAATGAGGTCTTGTGCCACAGATTTACCCAGTCCAATGGATCATTTGATTGACTGCTATTTCTATGAGTATTGATTGTGGATCTAAGTGAGGTAAAGTCTTTGACAGCTTCAACTTTTTCTCTGCTTATCGTCATGCTTTACATATTGGTTCGGTGTTGAATGGTCTGGTTTTCTCTTTATTGAGTAGTGTTCCATACTGAATGCTGCAATTCTTGATCTTTGTTATCACCTGTTTCAAGTTTTCTCCACTTTCAACAAGCACGGTTCTGTCATCTGCATATTGCAGGTTGTTAATAAGCTTTGTTTCAATCCTGAAGAAGATACCACATTCTTCTTCATATAATCTAATTTGTATAATTTGTTCGGCATACCAACTATGTATGGTAAGAGGACACAGCCCTGGAACACACCTTTCCTGATTTTAAGCTATGCAGGATTCTGTTTCCCACAAATCAGCCGAGGAAATCCCCAAGAAGCACAGTTTTTATAAAATCCCCATTGCACACGCTGGACAGCAAGGTTGTGTACCTGCAGCACGGAAAGCCAGGAAGTACCAGATGCACCGCTCAGACAGCTTGTCGCTTCTGGATCAGGCTTTGTCTCTTTTCCTCCAGCCTCCTCTTCTCGGGCTCCCCATGAGGGAGAGGGTATGTTGTTTACAGACGCACATAACAGGCCAGGCACCTCTGACTGTGGGCATAAGAAAACCAATGTTTTGCCACTCGGTCCTGGCACAATCAGGTGGTAGCAATTTCATTATTTCTGGGAATTGATTATTATGTCCGATTTCATGGATCATAGGCAGGCGGACAATTTTGGAGTTCAAACATGTGGTATTTATAAGGTGTCATAAGGTGCTCTGTCCCCCAACTAAGGGAAAGTGGTATAGTGGGAATCCAAAGTCAACAGCTGCCTACATTTTGGTTACCTTGAATTAAACATACACTCATTATCTCTATATTTCCTTCCCAGAAATAAAACTGCAAAACTAAATGAAGTGCACTGATAAGAAATGCCAAATCGAGTCAGAACAAAGGCGTTCCTTCTATTCTAGGACACACCATCATATCACTATGTGTCAGTGATCCCAAAGCTGTTTTTAGCTTTAGCTGAACAGTGTGATCATTTCACTAGACTATTTAGAACTGATTCTAGGTATTCATGTCAGAAACCAAAAGGTAATGAAAGACAAGCAGAGGTATTATTGTAAAACCTCCCGAGTGATCCTCATAAATAGCTATATTTAGGAACCATCTTAAAGAACCACTATGTAAAGTGTTTTTATCCCTCTCTGTTTCTCTCGGTCCCAGTCAATATTCACACATCTCTTCTTTCTTGAAATGCCTCGTATAGGAGCCACCCTTCAAGACCCACCCCCCCACCCCCTTCCGCTCAGCCAGTGGATTCAATAGCAGCAAGGGAGAGTCAGTGGATTACATGCTTGGCTGCTAACCTCTTGGTCAGCAGGTTGAAACCACCCCCACCCGCTGTGCTGTGGCGGAAAGAGGAGGAGCCCTCCTCCCCGGGCAGGTGATAGTCTCAGAAACCACAGGGCCAGGACGACTTTCTGCTGCAGGGCTACTCTGAGCTGGGGCTGGTTTGATGGCGGTGATCTGAGTTATTGGGTTCTCAATACTCTTGACTGCGCCAATCCCAGAAGCCAAATACATGCGAAGATAGTCCAGTATCCTACCAAAGACAGGTCTCCTTGCCCCGCCACTTGCCTTTTGAGAAACCCATGACCGAGCTGACAACCGCCCAACCCCCCAAGGTTGACATATCTCCAAGTTCTTGACAGGTCCCACAAGTGAAGTTGCAATGATGAATTTTATTCTTACTCTTTCCTTAACTTGACCTACAGAACCAAACAAGTCACCTGAAGCCCTGGTAACGGTACTAGCTTAAATGTTCTGTTTTTGTTGTTGTTTTGTTTGTTTGTTTCATTGGCATTTTCTTATCCTGAAGATATAGGTGAAAGAGGATGTTGAAGGAAGTTTTTCATTGTGATTGTGAATGGTTCTCTAATAAACTGACCAGGTTTATAATAGAAATACCACCCCCCCAAAACAGACTTGCCATATATTCAAAAGATCAATTTTAGAAACCAAACATTTAATATCTGATTTTTGCTAACATTTAAAAAGTTGAATCCCCTATAAAAATTTAAATAAAACCATATGTAGGCTGATGTATTGTGACTGTGGTACATTTAGGTGAAGGACAATCCTTATCAAAATAATTGGGCTCCTTGTATTTATACAGCTGTTAAAGTTTAGTGCATTAACGAAGCAATGGGTGAATGATTGTGTACTAAAATATAGATGTGAGATAACTATTGATTTACTTCAAAGAATTATCATAGGATTAAGTGAGTTATGGATAAAGCGTAAGTAATTGGAATAGTGTCCGGGACATAATAAGCAACAAATGGTGTTAATTTTTGTTTTCATTATCATTGTCACACATTTACCCAGGTGTTTGCAGTTTATTATGGTGTATTCCAAAGTAGAGATTCATATAAAGGGAGTTGAGAACAACACATCAACAACAAAAAAGTGAAAATAATGCAATAAAATAATTAGATAGATTGGATTTCATCTTAAAAAAAAAAGATAGAAAAAAAATTGTATATTACCAAAAGGGATCCTGTCTGTGGACTCAATGAATTACAGCCTGTTAAATCCAAAAAACTTACTTCTTCATAAGTCAAATAAATTTTGTGCATAATATTTCTACAGCATGGTAAATCCACACCAGTAGAATGTACTCATGGAAGCCATGTTCAAACTCTCAAAATTCTTTTAATACAATATTTTTACTGTTTATAAAACACTTATAGTAGCTATAAAAGTGGAATGATTTGGTCATGTGGAAAGAAAGAAATAATAGTATTATGAGTGGGTACCCCCCAAAAAAACATTAAAAAGCTTCGGGCAGACCTTTCAGATGTATACATTTTTTCCTGTGAGGCAAGCATCCAGCAACAATCTCTGAGTTAGTGCACCCAGTGGCATCTCCTGGGAAGGTTCTCTCGGGTCACAGTGAATTTTTTTGTGAATGAAGTTTTGCTTGAACTTTGTTTTTTGTGATGGCCAATTTAAGAAAAGAGTGTGTGGCTGTGGAATTTACTTTCCTGCTCAAGAAAATGGCACAGAAACAATGTTGAACACAGCTTACAGGGACAGTGCTATGGGAAAAACAAGTGTATGAGTGGTTTCCGTGTTTCAAAAAAGGTGAAATGTGAATTGATGAGAAACCTCAATCTGGACATGCGTCAACTTCCCAAACAGATGAAAATGTTGACAAAATTCATGCACTTGTACGCAAAGACCGACAATGAACTACTGGGGCTGAGACATGGTGCTATTCTTACGACCCCTAAAGTAAACATCAGTCAAGTCATTGGAAGACGCCATCTTCACCTCACACCCCCAAAGCTCATCAAGTGAAATCAAAGATCAAGGCCAACTCTCATTTGTTTTTGGTTAGGGGGATAGTGCATGTGGAGTTCATTCCACCAGGTCAGACTGTTAATCAAACTTTTTATTTAGAAGTTCTGAAAAGATTGCATAACTGTGTGAGACAATAAAGTCCTGATTTGTGGCAGACAGGGGACTGATTTGGCCAACATGACAATGCACTTGCTCACACAGCCATCTCATGCTAGTGTTTTGGCTAAAAACAGCCTGGCTCTCTTGCTCCACACACCTCACTCACCTGACCTTGCTCCAAGTGACTTATTTTTTCCCCCCATAAATGAACAAGGACATGAAAGGACAGCAATTTGATGACATAGAAGAAAAAAAAACCAAGGAGGTACTGTCAACTATCTAAACAGTTCAGTTTGAAAAATGTTTTAGAAAATGGAACCACAGATTTGACAAACGTATTCAGTGTAATGGAGAGTACTTTGGAGGTGATAAGTTTGTTTTGTAAAAAAATTTAATTTACAGATTTAAAAAAAAATCTGTGTTTTTTTTTGGAGGGGACCACCTAATATAGTGTTCTGTGCATGCATAAAATAAAGAAGACCTCACATGGATTGATGTCTCTGAATTATGGTGTTCGTGAAGAATATTGACTTTACCATGGACTGCCAGGGGGGGAAAAATGGATGAACTTGTGTTGGAAAAAATATAGTCAGAATGCCTTTTATTGTTCTGAGGTGCTGTCAAGGAGATGCTGACCCATAGCGACCCTGTGCATAACACAATGACACACTGCCTGCCGCTGTGCTTGACTAATTGTGGCAGCCCCTAGGTCCATCCATCTGGTTGGGGGCTGTCCTCTTTAGAAGCAGGAACAGTGAGGTTTCTCTCCTCTGCTGCAGGCATCATTGACGAGGACCCAGTCCCGAGAATGACCTCATGCTTGGTGCAGAAGAGGCTCAGACAAAGAGAAGAAAACCTCTGTCCTTGGATAAAGCTTCCCTTTTCATATGAAGTGATTGATTATTATAGGATGTGTGTGCTCCTGATAATATTGTTCCCTTTATAGCCTTGTCGTCTGTTGTTTGGCTGATAACAGAACCACAAGAGAGAGTTCATTTTAAGATACGAGTGGTGACTAAGGGCCAATTCACAATAAAAAGTAAAAAATAAAAGAGAAAGATACATTTAAAACGTAAGATGAGGAACATCCTTCATTTTGTGGATTGACAGACTGTCTATCACAGTGGGTTGAACCGTAGGACAAAAGGACTGGGCAGTGTTTTGCTCAGCTGTAGGTACGGTCCCTTTGAGTCAGGATCAACTGAGTTATTGCTTGTAATGCCAGGAGGCCCAATATATACGGCTCTGGTTGTCTGGAGCATTCGGAAGGCCCAAGATGTTTGCATTCACAAAAGATCTTCGCTCCTCTGATGTGGCTCAATATCTGTGCACTAAGTTGGTAATTACTTCCAATTGTTTCTCACTGAAAAGGACAAAGAAACTCTTCCACAATCACCGCATTATGGCAGAAACCTCTCTGAGACATCCAGAATGTTACCTTCCCCTGGGCTGCTAGCTACAAGGTCAGTAGTTTGAAGCCACCAGTCGCTAAAGGAGAAAAACGAGGCATTGTTTTCCTGTAATTGACTGCCTCAAAACCGCACGCAGTCAGTCCCACTCCATCCTAGGGAATCACTGTGAGTCAGAGTTGGCCTGATGCCAGTGAGGGGTTTTGTTCGGTTTTTAGGAAGAAAAGGCAAAAGACTGCTCTGAAACGTAATTGCTAGAAATGCAGTATAGAAACAAACATCGCGCTCAATGCTTGGCCTGCCGTTACTGCTGTGTACGCAGGTACTTACCGTTAGGAAGCCGTCATGGTTGCTGGCGCCGTTCACGGTCATGTATCATGAAGACATTGCTACGTGCCTTTGATCCTGGCATCTTGTCTGAGACATGCTGCTGTAGGAAACCAGCTTGGATTTTCAGAGGCAGCTAATTAAATGCCCTAGTCTCCCTCAGAATGTCCACATCTATTTGGACACGGAAGGCAATTAGAGGCTTTGTCTCCACCCTGGTGAGCTGGTTACTAAACGCTTTGACAATAGATGACAACAATTCCAGGCTGGGATTCTGATGAGCCACTGTGCCGCTCAGCCTACGAAATCTTTCCAATTTGCTACCTTTTTCCTTCTTAGATTGAAAAATATTGATAAAATAACCATCCATGTAATTTCCATCCATTATATTACTCATTGATCAAAGCAAACAACAGGCCCCTACAACCCTGAGGCAAACAAACAAAAACAACGCTGACGTGCTTCCTTGTTTCACACAATACTAAGTTGCTTCTGGATGCTTGAGATACAGTGACAGACCGACAGGGTTGAATTCGGAAGAGAATCTCATAATTACTTTTGCTCTAAGTGTTCTGAGGCAATTTGAAGTATGTTGATTATAGAAATTCAGAAAGGCACAACATCATAATAGAAAAATTCCTAGACAGAATTCAGAAGCTACTTATCACATGGACAAAAAGTCCAAAACCTTAGGAACACTTTAAAAGACTTTAAGAGCTGTGCATAATGTGGACAAAAAGTCTGAAACACTGCAAAACCTTTAAAAGAGAGACAGGAAAACAGAACCGGATTCTGCTATTTATCAACTAGAAAGAGAGAATTTAGTTATCTGATTAAATTGATGAAGGATCGTTTGTAGACGTTAGCAGACAGACTCCGATACAATCCCACCGATGGTGATCTGGGCAGGTTTTCTGAGGAAACACGTCTCAAAGAGGACAGGAGAGCTTGAACATTCTTTAGATTTAATTTGTTATTCCAGCTTCTGTGTCTGGCAGTGTTTTTCCAACAACCTGATACAAATAAAGCTGAGACTTAAAGAGCCTTTGAAAGCAGCACAGTGTGCTGCAACCAACCTCCCTGCTGTCAAACCGACATGAACACAGAGCCACGGGCAGAGACAGAGCACAACTGCCCCACAGGCACCAAAGCTGGGAGGTCTTGTGGCAGCAGCCTGCTACATTTTTCTCCCACAGAGTTCCTGGTAGGTTCGAACCACCAACCTTTGGGTTAGCAACCTTCTGTTTAAGCCCCGTGTCACCAGGAATTTCTTTAGTGTTCAGGTTCTGCTAATGCATAAGATATAAGTAGAATGGAAATATCTCTGGTGCACAACATTTAAATAGGATAGAAATCGCTCAACAAAATACATATTTTCAAGAATGGGTTTTCCTCTACTTCATGCAGGTGAATACACTGTGAATTCCAAACGTTGGAATGGAGAATTTGATCAAAAATATGAAGTATATTTGGGACAATGTGCCTTTCATGCTTCATTTTTTGTTCTCATTTTTCTTTGCCTGTAAGCGAATGATATAGTGGAGAACATGAAGAGCTGCTGCATGGCTATTGCTGTCGAATTCCCTGGTTAAGAGCCTTCCGACAACTGTTGACACGATTAAAACATGATGCGGACTGTAAATGGAGAGAAGCCAGTGTCTACCAATTCAGCCGGCGACCCACATCTCCTTTTGCTCCCGCTTTTCTCTAGCTGCATCTGGGAAGAGTCCGTCAGGATAGCACAAAAAGGTGCAATTATACAATGAACAAAAAATTACCTATCTTAGAAATAACCGCAATAACAACAACATAACACTTTCAATAAAAATTCTGAACTGTCTTAATATGGCTCAAGGATCCCAGGGGGTGGACTGGTTTTGAGTTGGACTGTGCACCTCAAGGTCATTAGTTCAAAACCACCAGTGTAGGACCCAGCCCCACACCTGAACAGTCCTTAGGAGTAGCGTGTGCAGTTAAGGCAGACAAATGATGATGGCGGCACCCTGAGGTCTCAGCTCGGGAGAAGAGCTGGGCCAGTTTATTCCACAACAATGTCTCTATAGTAATGTGGCTTTCAAGCCACTTGTTAGTCCCTACAATAGAATGGGCAACGCGCTGAACTTGAATGCCCTTGTTAGTCCATACAATAAAATGGGCAATGCGCTGAACGTGAATGCCCTTGTTAGTCCATACAATAAAATGGGCAACGAGCTGAACTTGAATGTCCTGAGCCTTCAAGGGAAACACTTCCAAGGTAGAGCCTGTCAGGCGAGTAAACTTGAGAGTAAACAGTGGTGTTAATCACTCCTTCAGAAAAAAGAAAGTTAAAAAACAAAACCAGAACAGATCATCAGGGGTTAGGTTGGTGAGGGCTTTGCTATGGTAATGTGGCCTCTGGAGTTGGAGATTGCAGGAAGCATCTGAGTCAAACAGCCCCCCCCAGGCAGCCCTGGCTGGATCCCAGCGCTCTTCTACAAGACTTAAAGAGAGAGGCCGCGCATAGGGAACAACAGATGGGAGCCAAGCAGGTTCTTGGAACCCAGAGTCCCTGCCCTGGTAACCTTATCTATGGACTACGTGGAACGTGGATGCCAACGCTCACGGACTCTCCAAAGAGTGCACGCAGATGTGGGAAAGAGACCAGTCCCATCCACTACAGATGATCAACTGAAACCCTTTCACATCCATGCCTAAGTCTGTAAACTAACACACCTTGTCTAAGATAAAATAAATGTCTCTTTTAAAGACAAAAAAAAAAAAGAGAGAATGGTCCACAAAGGCGGACGTTTCTCTTGTTAGACATAAGCATCCTTCTTACACTATGTGTGAGAAGCAGGCAGCTGTCGCAGACAACGTATCAGTTTATTCAGAGTACACATGAAGAGCCCGTGTCCTGAAGAAATCTGTGTCTCAGACGCTTATCAATCCTCTCACGGCCCATGACGCGTTCCTCTCAACACTAGGGCCCCGTTTCCCAGTGCGCTAGTCCCAAGAGTAGAGACTAGGCCACGTACACCTGTTCCAGGTCCTCAGGTCCTGGCACCAGCAGCAGCTCCCCAGGAGAAAGACAGGGCTCTCTACTCCTGTAGAGCCACAGTCTCAGAAGCCCCAGGTGCAGTTCTACCCTGTCCTACAGGGTCACTAGCAGTCTGCATTGACTAGAAGGTAGTGAGTTTGGTTTGGGTTAAAGGCCACCAAAAGGACAACCAAGGCTGCGTGGCAGAATTTGCCCTTCTATGTGGAAGACCCAAGTGTGTTGATTGAACCCATGTTTCTCATGTAGAGCGTGTGTCCTTCTGTCTGAAGACGTACATGCAATTATGATGCTGAACAGCTTCCTGCAGAGCTGCCAGGCCATGGCAGATGTGGAAGAAAGGTCTGGTGATATCTAACATTAACCATGACAATCCTGTGGATCACAAAGGTACAATCCAGTTGCACACAAGTCACCACGAGTTGGGGCCTGGCCTGATGGCTGCAAGCAACCAACAAACACTCTTTAGAAGCATTTGCAAGAAAAGAGTGAAACCAGCCGGACTGTCATGTATTCATCGCCTGATTACTGACTAGGGCTCCCAGAATGCAAACAAAATGTAGAGGGTGAAGTTGATTCAAGTGAGTGCCTAAAAGAATACCGATACTTGTTGTTAAATAGACTAATAATATACCTTAGCAGGGGCCTATGATCCTGGGTCCCCAGACTAAGCAACTGAGATGCTCAAAGTGTTCGGTTATGTCTGAGAAGCTTTCATAACTTTGCCCCGGGGCATGCTGCGCGCTTCCTGGGCGTGTTTGCAGCACAGGGAAGTGCACAAGGAGAAGTGGCGTCTGTGGAGTCCTCCTGTATTCATCAGTCTGGAGACTCCCTCAGACTCGGCTTCCCACACCCCTCAACCTCCTCTCTGTCAATGCATAGCTACGCATTGGTCAGCTCTTTCTCGGCTCCCTCGTTTTGGGCTAACCTTCTTACTGCATATTGCTTTCCTTGTCACCTAGGTTATACTAGGAAGTTATTCTCTTTTCTACTCTTATTCCTGCTTACCCTTCTTTAATGTAAACACCTTCCCTTGACATTTTACAGAAATGGTCTTGTACGAGATTTGCCTTTGTGTGATTGACTAATTACACACAGAAAAATGAGCTACAGATTCATTCGTGGTGTGAGGTAGTTCACAAATTCGTCATTTTTCTTCATATTGCATGACATTTCAATATGCGTATACACCATAGTCTGTGTATCCATTCTTCCATTAAAATTGCATCCTTCGTTTTGCTATTGTAATGAGTACTTCAGGGAACAAGGATGTGCACATATTTATTTATGCTATTACTCTCATTTATTTAGGATATCTAAGAAGAGAGACTGATGGGTCATATGAGATTTTTATTTCCAGATGTTTAAGGAGGTGCCACACAAATTTCCAAATAGTTGTACCATGTTAGTCTTTCCTTTACAATACCAGGCTTTCTTGTTTTAGGGTTTTGTTAGCTGTGATAT